AATATACGTATCTTATAAAAGTTAATTAAATAAAATAATTTTCTATTAAACTTACAGCAAACAACAGGAAACTTTTGAATACGACTGTTATCGGTGTCAGTGACAATAACTGCTCCAGTTGAATCAAGTCTGACAGTATAAGGATCATTTAATTGATCTGGTAATACTCCAGCGATACCCGTACCAGCAATGACTCTGCCTGATGTAGCTCCTAACAACCATAAAACAATTCGACTATTTCCATTATCCACGATGTACATTGTTCCATTCGTGTCCATAATCAAAGCATCTGGATAAGAAAGTAGATTAAGTGTACTACCACACGTACCCGATGATTTTCCAGCCACTGTTTTTCCACTACTTGCTCCATAAAGCCATTGTTGGATTCGACAATTATTTGTGTCTGCTACATAAAGTGTATTCGAAGCAGATGTGTCAACGAATAATCCCAATGGAGTATCAAATTGATTAGCTTTTGTACCCTGACCATTCCCTCTTGCACTAAGTTCTCCAGTCGATGCATTCATCCATTTTACAATCCGATGATTGTTTGAATCACAAATCCAAATAGAGGATGTATTGGGCTCAACAAAAAAGTCAGTAGGACCATCTACTTTGTCGAGAGAACTGCCTATTCCATTACCACCGGCTACAAGTATACCTGTTGATGCGCCTGGACCCCATTTTGTAATACGAGAGTTATCGCTATCAAGTATATAGAAATTACCGCTCATGTCTATATAAAGAGCATCCACTAAATTAAAGAAAACATAGATTATATATAAAGTATCTTAGATTATTTACTGCTAGAGAATTGATTGAGATCTGTGCCAAACGAAGCGTTAATGATTGTTATTCCTGATAGACTACCTGGATAAAAAATTTGCAGACGATAGTATGCATCGTAATCAATGACATAAATCGAATCATTGGCATCAACCCTGACGTCCATTGGATAACTTAGCAATGTTGAAGTAAGACCTGCAATACCTATAGGTGAACCAGCAATTGTTGTTGCATTCTCTGCCCAAATAGTCATTGAACAATTTGTAGTCGAAATAGGTACTAGTAAAAAACAAAAAAACGTTATTTAAACTGCATCTATCTTATTTTTAGTGTTCAAGTTATATAACTGCTTACTGAATTTTTTTGATACGAAAACTTCTATGACTCATTTATTTATGTTAAATGCTATCTCAAAATCAGTAAAAAATAGAAAAGATTCATATTAAAATGAATGTCTATTCTACTTAACATAATATGATACTTACTCGTTGTAGTTACTGATGAAACAGTTGTAGTTGATATATTTGTCGCTATAGTAAAACAAAGAATATGGATATATTTATATAAAATTGTTAATCTTAAACAAATCTTACGGCAAGAAATAGAAAATCTTTGTGTACGATTATTTTCAGTATCAGCAACATAAAGTGTTCCATTCGAACTGAAGCTAATACTATTTGGATACCAAAGCTGACTTGACGTTTGTCCCCCGAATGGTTCATTACCAGCGATGATCATTCCAGAACTTGCACCTACTTTCCATTTGAGAATTCGTGAATTGCTCGAGTCCACAATATACATATTCTGATTATTATCGACAAGTATTGCTGTTGGATCCCACAGTTGATCGAGTCTATCACCATAGTAACTAGTTATTCCGGCTACCGTTGTTCCGCTAGTTGCACCTGAAAGCCATCTCTGTATCCTATGATTTCCACTATCTACTACATAAAGTGTATTTCCAGCAGTTGTATCGATGAATAATCCTAATGGATAATTAAATTGATCGGGGTTTGTACCATAACTACCGCAGACTGTTAATGCTGTAGATGAATTTACATATTTGACAATTCTGCTATTGTTTGTATCAGCAATCCAAATAAACGATGATTCAGGTGCCATAAATATTCCACCAGGTCCACTTATGTTATCCATATGTCCATCATAATAATCAACGAAAGGAGCACCACCAGCTACAAGAATACCGCTCGTAGATCCTGGTGTCCATTTTGTTACACGTGATAAAGTTCCATCCAATATATAAATATTACCATTCGTATCTATACTCATACCATCCACTAGAATAAATCGAAAAACTGCAATGAAAATATCAATAAAATAATTGTATACTTACTCGTTCCGAATTGATCAAGTTCAGTACCAGAGCTACCATTGATTATCAGTGTACCTGAAGTTGATTGAGTTGAACCTGGTGGAAATAGTAATATACGAAAATTTCCACCATCAGCCACATAAATATTACTGCTATTGTCGACAATAACAATAGTTGGTTGAATAAGTCGGTTCAATATAGAACCAGAATAGCCGTTTTGCGAACCAGCTACTGTGGTCCCTTTTGTTGCCCAAACAGCCGTTGGACAAATAGACAAAGCTGAGCTTTTGTCAATTAAAAATCTAACAAAAATTATTTTTACTATATAATCTAATAAAGTAAATATAATATTTCTTACGTAGTAATAATCACAATTAATTTTATCGAAATATATTTCAAATATATGTCAACCATAATGATTAATATCTAAATTAAATCTTCTTAGTAATATTTTCTCTATAAAATTAAACAAAGAAGCGTTAGTAGAATAGAATAATGAGACAAGTAAAAAACATAATATTTTATTTAATACTATGATAATATTCTTATGAATTTTCAAACAATCGGAATTTAATCTTATCAATCTTAACCAAATGAAAATATGTAATATAGATCTATCAGTAGAGAATTATTTTTCATTTTTGTTTAGTTTGCAAACAGAAATTCTAACCTAATTTTGTATCTTTACATTCGTGATAAATATTCTATTAAAACAAATAAAATTTTACAGAATAAGACAACATATGGCTACTGTTGAAGATATTTCTTTTATTTAGTTATTCATCAGAAAACAGAATGTAAAAAAAAAGAAGAAGGAGAAGAAAGTTTTTTTATTTGTATTGCAACAAACGACTATATCAAATGTAAAATATAGATAAATGTTTAAGAAAATTGAGGTTCTGGTTTTACACATACTCAAAAAAGTACATTTATAAAAATAAAAAGTCACAATAACAGATGGTATATTATTGCGCGATGTAGCCATTTTCTATACGGACATCTGTAGGGAATTAAAATTTCTCCTTTGCTGTATCGTTTTAACTCACAATGATAGAAAAATATTAAAAAACAGCCAGGTAAACGACGTAATTAGTGATAAAAAAAATGTCCTTTTAGTTCGCTTCAACTAAGTAATGACTAGTACTAAAATTAAATTTTCCGATGTCAAAAAAATGAGATATCGAGTGAATATTCATAAATACAGCTCAAGAGACTTATGCATTGGAATCATATGAATAAAAAGATAGTTTATGTAGTAAAAATCAAGGAGAGATTTAAAAATGTATTGAAAAATAAACTTGTTTATAACTTCAAATTTATTCGCAATTATTTGAAAACTTACCTTTTTAAAACTTAAATGAAATTGAAATAATCTATAATGAATTGATTCAATAAACAACAGTTGTCTTCTTACAAAAGTCAAGATATTTCTATAAAATAAAACATACATACGATATTATTTTCTTTATTTTATCAACACGTCTTATTTTATAAAATGACTTGTCCTTTTCTCTTTTTTTTCTCTAAAAGTACAGTTCATAAGAGATAAACGTCAATTCTATTATTGGTTGGTCTGGATATTTTTCTTTAAAAAAAATAAATTCTTTCTTCTTTCAGAGAAATGCTGTTGTCTATTAATTAGTCATAACACTAAAACAAATTCTATATTTTTTCTATTCCTGTGGAAATAAGTTTTTTTCTCTAATGAAAAGAAAAACTATATGTTAATATTTGATTTCGTTTATATCTGAGCATTGTTGATAAAATTCTTTTTATTTCAATAGAAATCTATTCTGTTTATTTATTTATCTTTAATATATAGATTAATATATTTCTATTAGCTAACTACAAAATTATGTAAACTAACAATTTTTACTTCGTCTGAGTATATTTTTGTTTACTCGTTAACAAAACTAAAATTCTTAGTTCTTCTTAGTACTAAATAGAGAATTTTTAGACATTACTAGAATTGCCTTCAAATGATGTTTTCTTCTTGATTCTCAGTGTTTCTATGTTAACGCTTCGTGGTTGTCCTGATCTTTGTAATTGGTAGTTGTCGTGAGATTCATCTGAACCGACCTACAGAAAATTACAGAAATCATCTTGAGGATACGGATGTGGGTGTTCTTTTTAAATTAACAAGGGACACCCACATCCTGGATTTTCGACTTACGAGGGACCTCATAACTATCAAATAGCGTTTTTAATAGAAACCATTGCAATAGAGATTATCTACCATGCTGATTCTGAATATGAGCATGAAAAATGCTCTTAGGCTTTTAGAGGACGGTTTTTCTAGGAAATCGGTTTCTAAAAACCACATACTTTCTACTAAATGTTGTTTTTTATTCACTCAGATTATAGAGCATATCGAAGTGCTTATGAAATGGCAGTTTTTCTTGTTTTGTAAAAATGAACTCCAAGGAAAACAATATAAACTTTTGTATCTTGGTATTAAGTTGTTATGGTGTGCACCTGTTTTATAGATTTACTTGGCTGTATTTTCTAGAATACTATATTTGAAACAGAAAGTGCTGTTGTTTCATAGATAATTCTATATGTTCTATAATCTAAGCGAATAAAAAACAACACTTAGTAAAAAGTATGTGGTTTCTGGAAACCGGTTTTTTAGAAAACCACTCTATAAAGGCCTAAGGGTATTTATCATGCTCATATTTGGAATCAGCATGATTGATAACCTGTATCCCAATAGCTTTTATTAAAAAAAGCGATCGGACAGTTGATGAGGTTTCCTCGTAAGTAAATCGAGTTTGGATATTGAAGAAAAAATGAATATGTTAAGTTTTATTTTTATTTATTTAATAAGCATAAAGCGTGATTAATATGAATAGAAATGAAAAGCAAAAAAATCTTTGTTTATTTAAGATACATTTGTAGTCGGATTAATTCTATTATTTGTCCGACACATTGCTTTGACAATAATAATAGCAATTAATCGACAAATAATAACTAAACCACCATATAAACCAATTAATATTAATATTCCTTCAGTAGCATTCCTTTTATCAACATATGAATAAATACATAACGCTGGTGAACATTGATCAAAATAATTTGTATAATTTATTTCAAATTTGAATTCTTCAAGCATTAATTCATTGACAACTGATTCAATTGTTTGAGTTAATAAAAAACGACTTGTTTCTAATGATGAAATATTTATTGATTTGAAATTATTTGTTGAATCAATACATGATTGATTATAAAAACATTCTAATGTTGTTTGAAATATTGATTCAAGTGGATAACAACCAATTAACATTCCACGAGATGAACTAACGCATTCAGACGATGATGAACAACTACATCCATTATAATTTAAGGGAAACACATGAATAACCAGTTCTTGCAAGGCTGGATCTACACGTTCAAGTTCCCAATTACTTAGATATAAAGTCATGAACATATTACTGCTAATTGTTTCACGAATTAATGAAATACTATTGGCAAATGGTTGTGATATGGTTTGTTGAAATTCATTAATAAACATCTGAATTCGATTATTTAAGATATATTCTGATAAAAGTTGATTATTAATTAAATCTGTTGTTCCCAATTGAAGAATTGATTCAGAAACTGTTTCGTTTGATAAATTACAAAATGATAAAAGTAGTTTAAATTGTCCAACCGCTGAATTATAAAAATCATATGGTGAATGTCGTTTATCATTGTCTCTTTTCTCATATAAATATGAAAGCCATCGATCTGTAATAAATTCACTTGAGCACATCTCATGAAAACGAGTTGTTAAAGTTAAAAATGATTTATATTTCATTGATAATTTTGAACATGGACATTCCAATGTATCATTATGTTCTTTATATAAATCTTTATAGATTTTTAATGAAGGTTTATTCGCTTGAATAGTAATTACACGAGGAGTAAAAGTAGAAAACATACAAAGTGTAGTAAGAATTCCAATAACTAAAATCACATGTAATCGATGAATGATTTGATTTTCGGTATGACAGATAAAGATTTGCTTAATAAAATTGAATGAAATTAAATGAAAGAAATTATTTGAACAAACTTTATCAATAAATTTCAAACTAATCATAATTAAAAGTTTCAATGCAAGTGATAAACCACCAAAAATACTTATAATAGTTGTAATACTAATAAAAAGATTATTTCGATCATTATATTGATATGTACATGATAATGGTAAACATTTTTCATAATATGATGAAAAAGAAATATTTGATAACCATTTATCAACCATTAACTGATCAGTAATCATTGTGATTGTTTCATTTGGTTGATTTAAATTTTGATCAAGAGCAGAAAAGTTAAAAGATACTAGAGAACGTATATATTCATCAACTGTTAACATACATGATAGATTATAAAAACATTCTAATGTTGATCCAAATAATGATTGAATTGAATAACAACCATAAAAAATATTCGAAACTGGATAAGGATCTTCAAAGTATAGCCCCCCCCCTCGATTTGTACGATAAATTTCAACAGTAGAATCACAGGATGAAGATAAAATACAATTACATCCTTGGTGTGTTTGTGAGCTTAGATATATTTCTGAATTTCCATCTACCATAATATAATTGGTATATAAATCACTAATCAATTGATTTCCTTGATAAATTTGTTGAATTAATCGAATAGTTCTTTTAAAAGTATTTGTCGTTGTTAATTTCCAATCTTCAATCGATGAATCTATTAGATTTTTAAACGATTCTTTTGCAAGAGCTTGTGAACTAACGAGTTCTGTTCTGAGAAAAATGTCAAGTGCATTAGCAATAGTTTCTTTAGCTTGTTCACATAATAGTGATAATAATTGAAAATAAGCAGTAGAAATTATTCGATAATCAAAAGTAAGTAGAGACTTTCCTTCGATGCTTCCCTTCATGTAATTAATCCATCTTTCAGAAATGAGATCACTTTGACATAATTGATGATATTGCGGTTGAATTGTTGTAAAATTTGAATAAGATATTAATATTGAACTGCATGGACATGAAAGTGATCGAGGATATTTTTCTTGAAGTTGAGAAAACTGAGATTCAGTAGGATAAAAAATTGTTTTTGATTGAATTGATTTTTGTAAAAATACATAAATAGTTATAATTATCATTGAACCAATCAGTAAAAATATATACAATCGTGTTGCATAACGTTGAAATTTCGTTTGTCGATCTGTATTAGAAGATTGTTTGAAAATATTCAATTCAATTAATTTCTTTTGAATATTTTCTTTAAATTGATATAAACGATTTTTGACTAAATATTAAGAGAAAAAATATAATATTATTTTATCAAAATATACAAAATCAATTTCTTTTAACTATTGTCACAAGTAATATTCGTCATCTCGACTCACTTCACCCTCGACTTTGTGAGTATGGGAGTGGGTATGGATGAGGGCTTGAATGTGGATATCGGTTTCGGTGATGAATAAGAACAAAATACACACCTACACCGAGCCACATTCATTCACCATCTACACCCACATCCACCCTATTCCACCCACCCAGCTCATCTTTACCCACACCCACTCTATGGCAGCCAGCCTGCTCCATTCACCCAGCTCATTTTCACCCAAACCCAATTATTTAGAACTAGATGTTTTTTTAATCTTTGATCTGCCACAAACATACACATAGGCAGACTAGCTATTTTTTTTCATATGACCCTCATCACAGTCGAGGGAATAACTAAAATCATCTATTTGTTTCCATGCTTGACTTGTGCTTATTTTCGTTCTTTTATCTTTTTCTTTTTTTCTATTCTATTCTTAATTACTAATTTGTTACTTTTTTACTTTCTCATTGATAGCAATTTCTACTTACAAGAAATTCGTGATTTTGGTGTTCGATCTCGTCGTTTCATAACGAATCCAATAACAAACGGAATTATTAATCCCAATATTAATGTCAAACTAGACAATAAACTAATCAATTTTTTTAAGACATGAACAAAATCTCGTCGAGTAATTTTCAAATAAGTACATGAAGATGGTGCACATTCTGAATAATATTTATCATAAAAAATATTCATTGTCCAATTTTCTATCATTAATTCATCAATTATTGATTGGACAGTTGATGTTGGTTTATATAAACTTTTATTATTTATAATCATCGCACTGAAGTTGTCACTTGTTGGAAAATATGTAATCAGTTTGTTTACACATGTTTGATTGTAGAAACATTCAAGTGTCGATGATAGAAGTGTAAATCCTGGGAAACAACCTGTTGACATTCCTGGTATAGACCATGTCAAACTATTCATGGTATCACCTATACTCGGTCTTCTAAACATATTGACAATGCCTGACTCTATTTGATCGCAATTGTTTAGTTTACAAAGACACGTAGAATCATTCGTTCGTCGGTAACGATGTTCAAAAAGAATAAGTTGCTCGTTTATCTGTGTGAAATAGATGCTAGTTTGTACTGCAGGTATTAAGTTACTGGCGATTATCATTTCTATGATTAATTTTAGTTGAAGATTAAAAGTATTTGGTGTTTTTAGTTTGAACTGTTCAATTGTTGTATTGATGAGTGACCGCAGATATGCTTCGGATAAGATTTGTGAACTTAGCAATGTATTTTGCAAAATAACACTAACACTTTGATTAGTATATGATTCTGACAAACGACAATAAGCAGCAAGTGCTTGAAATTGTGCATTACCAAAACGTCGAAAGTCTCGAAAAGCAAAATAAGTTGTATTCGCTCTCGAAGCAATTGCATTTAGCCATCGATCAGTAATAAAATCACTTGAACAAACTTGATGAAAACTTGGTTTCACTGACATAAATTTCTCATATGGAATAGAAATATGAGAACATGAACATTTTGCATTGATAGGCAGACGTTCAAACTGATCTTTTGTTGGATTTGGTATAGTAACCATCGTCGTTTGTTCAAGTAATAATAAAATGAGACCAATAATAAAAAGAATAAATATGATAAGTATAATATATATTCGTGTACCAATAATATTCCATAGACGTTGTTGATCATTTTCTTGTTCATTGGAATCGGATGATGGTGCAAATAAATTTAAGTTCAGAAAGTATTCTTTTAACGAAGACATTTGTCATAATATAATAAATATCACTTGTAAATGTTTATTTTGATTATTCTTAATATAAAATTAAAATTTTCATGAAAAAAAAGCTACAATTGTCCATTAATATCTCATTCCTTCGTTATCTCATTACTTTGTTATATTAAATATCAGTATTTTGGATTTAAAGGCAATTTAATATCCAAAGAATCATATCATGAAGGTGTGAGAGCTTTTGATATCAAACACTTACCTGAGCCGGTTTAGAATCAAAATGAAAAAAAAACAAAGTTGGAGATGCATAAAATAGGAGAAAAATATTTGCCTATTTAATGATTATTCATCATAAACTTAATAAATGAAGATAAAAGAAGCATATTTTTTATTATTTAGAAACTATCATTAACACAATAAATCAAAATATTTCTAATAATGTTAAGAAAAGTAAAATCATGCTTTTCTCCCAGACTCATCAATCATAAAAGATTAGAATAAATGAACAATATACACGTAGGTGTTTAACATATAGAAAAAAAAGAACAAGAATGATTTAGATATAATTATAAATCATATTTTCAACTTTTATGCCGTTTAACAAGAACTACATGAGTATGAGTATAAAGTATTTTCAGATCAAAACGATATGTTATCACTTACTGGAACAAAGATACATATATTGATATGAAAACATTCACTGACCCTAATTCTGAGAATTATTGGAGTTGGTATTCATCATGTCAGTACTTCTATGATTTTTGAGCGAATTCATGTTTTTGTATATTCTTTTCCATCAAGCTCCAATATTCTATTTCATTCGTATCTGTGTATCTCATTTTTTTGAGAGAAATTTTTAATCCATCTTTCAATATGCTTTTAGAAAACTGTTAATTTTGATTGAATTAATATTTTTCTTTTTATTACAAAATGTTTGAAATTGATTGATATTATTTGAATAAGAAATATTTTTATGTATTTCTCATTCATTTTGTTTTATGTGTTGCTAGAGAAGAGAGATTAAAGACTTTTTCATTACAACTGATTAATTTATGATGAAAATATTTCGAAGATATTCTAAAAGTTAGACATTTCTTTTATTTTATATCTAAATTCTTTGATTTTATAATATTATTTGGTAATCATAGATGTTCATCATGAATTTAAAAGTGAATAATTAATCTTTACTTGACTTTTGTTCATTAAATAAATATAAGAATTCCACATTCTAACTAATGCCTTTATTAAAATAAGAGAAAAATCTCCTTAAAAAAAGCCTGTTAATTGTTCTTTGCTCTCGATCATACAAAAAACTGTAGCTTGGTGTAGGCGTGGTTGTTGATATGACTTTCATGTATACCAGATATTCAGACCTACACCAACACCCACCCTCAAAGAGTTTTTAGTCAGGCCAATTTTCTTCTATATTTATATGAAGTTACTCGAAAACGGAAGTCAATCTTAATGAAAAAAAAAGACAAAACATGATTGATGATTAATTCCATGAGCGTGTTATTATAATGCCGCTTCAGAATAAATTTTTTTTCATCGATCATTTATATATATTATTTATCTACACATATAAAAGCACGTCATCAATTGCGCATGATAATTTTTTGTGCATGACATAAGTACGTCATTGAGTTATGCTCATATGAATTATATTCATCATCCAACCATCAGCATCTTTTTTCCTCATCTCTTATCCTTTTCAAGCGCCTGTGTATATATGATTTTGTATTGTATTCAATTTCTTTTCGTTTTGTTTTTGTATACTTCATTTAGAATCCGTTCGACCATTTTCAGATTATTTATCTTTTCCACCTTTTATATAATATAGCAAAGCTTGTTTTTTAACAGGGGGTGGCTGTGGGTGTAGATACTATATATATCATACACCGACAACCACACCCACACTCACACCCTGATACACACCTCACCTACACTCTGCCACACTCACACCACTCATCCTTAAGATTTTTGTTTAATATCATCATTTTTTTTCCATTCAAATGAAAATGTCTCTTGTTTTGGTACATGATTACTAACATTATCTGCTTTTTGACAATATTCTTTTAATTCATTTAAAATTTGTGTTCGTGTTCGATATTGATGTTGTTCATGTTCAGATTTTGATTGCGCAAACCCCAATGACGAATATAATTAGATGGTAATTTATTTAAAATTTGAGGTCGTAAGTGCGGGTGGATGTGCATGCGGATATCGGTATGAAGTATAATACATCTACGCCAACACCCACTCGATCTGATTTTGTGACAAGAACCTTGAAAGCTTTATTCTTTTTTTTAAGTTTTATGGCTAAAGGAAGGCACTATTTGTTGTTGCAAAACAGAACGAGAAAATGCATATTTTTTTAGTTTCTTGTTATAATGTAACATTATCTCGGACGTATATATGAAGGTTTGTTTCTTATCTTTTACAACCAGTAAAAGAAACTCTTTCAAGGTAAAAAATATTATTATCAGTTGAAAAGAAAATAAAGAATTCTTACCAACTTAGGCTATTCACTTTGTCTCCCATTCTTTCAACATCGATATAATAAAAGCTTCATTGAACTTTGCTTACAATCCATAAATCAGGTATCGCCTACACCTTTCGCCGAGAGAAAGCATCAATTACATACCCAGATCGAACAGGCATGGTCGTAAACGATTGAGTAAAGAGAAATACGATAGTATACAACCGTATTTTGATGTATTACAATCGTATAGGGAGAAAAAAACGGTCGTTTACTCATTTGGTATACGAAGGCCATCTACGGTCTCCGTTTTTCTCCGTATATAGTTGTATTACTTCGTATATCGTCACAGAGATTTGCGATCGTAATACTGGTCCAAATAAGACGTTAAAATGCGGTCGTATACGGACTCCGTAACACTCGCCCTGGGTACATATGAAAAGAGCACAATAACAACTACTTTGTGATTAATCAAAGTCACTACGTATGACTTGTCTTATCCTATTTCACAGCCATCTTCTTGTCTTTCCGAGAGTGTGGATGAGGATACAGGTGTGTCTTCTCTCTTCACTCTCATACATACACATACACCCTCACGAAAAGAAGAAAAGCGTGTATATCAGTGAGAATATTAACACAAAGCAAGTGTCATTACTACCGGTCTACTCACTTTTCAATCTACTTATCTCTTCATTTCTTACTCTTCTCATAGCGGCAAACTGTCAGAACGCTGAATAATCGTGCGAGGATGTCAGTAACTGCGGACCATTATCATCATGATTTTCCAGCGAAATGGCAATCGTATTTCGATCGAACTGAAGTGAATCTTGAATCACACCAGTTACTATGGACGGATATACAGCTCAGTGATATTGAAATCAACGAAGACAAACTTTTCTCCACTCTAACGCAGTTTCGCGAGCTTGTTAATCACACAAGAGTGTTCGATCATTGGAGAATATGCTTAGAGTACATCCAGACGAGAAGTGTTAATACATTTACATTTCTTGTTTGTTCTGCTTCTTATGCCAAAAACCTCGTTCCAAAACTGTATCCTTTCACGGAAGTGAAGGTATGGAAACTGTATGTATACTGTACAGGATATCAGCATAATCAATTCGAGTGGCTTGACGAATACAATAGGGTGAGTAATGTTTGGATCTATGAAGTAAAAGTGATTGGTATTGGAAAATCGATTTTTAGGACAGCAGATGCACAGTACATCAAGAACTTGATACTCTTCTGGCAACCATCAAGCACGATCTGCAAAAATATTTCCAACACGAAAAAGCTGGAATGTTCAGCGACGTGCGCTGGATACAGGAGAGAAGCATTGATGACAATTACTGTTCGTGGTGGCGAAACCTGATCAATGTACTAGTTAGTCTGCCCTATCCGGAAAACTATCATCACCAACTAGTGGATGAGTTCAGGAAACATGGCTTTAATCAGGCCATTCTTGAAGAGTTTCGCGCACAATTCCTCTTGCAGAAACGAGCAGTGTGGTGGTATTCTCACTCGAGCTGTTTCTACGGGGTTCTCAATCGAGCGTTGAGACAGAGAAACGTCCAAGTGCTTCTGCTCTTTGGTTCCTTTCTTCAGGATTTGCACCGACAACTGAAATTCGAGCATTACAAGCAGAAGCAACAGCTTGCAAATCCACTGACCACCGTTTATCGTGGGCAAGTTCTCTCGAGTAGCGATTTGGATATGTTGGAAGTTGGCTTTCCCGTTCGCTGTAACAGCTTCTTCTCATCATCAACTGATCGTGATATGGCTCTTGGTTTCCTGCTATCGTCATCGATAGAAAAAGACTTCGAATATGTACTGTTCCAAATAGACATTGATTATCGAACAGTCTGTCCTCCCTTTGCCGACATATCGCAACTTAGCAAGTACGCCGACGAACAAGAAACGTTGTTCATGTCAACCACACGCTTTTATCTTGAAAGCCGCCACGAGAAAGTGAGTGTTCTCAACGACTCATCAACACCATACTGGTTAGTGAAGTTAAAACTCCTCTCCGATGATGATATTCACAGCACAAGAGAATTAGAAGTTCCAAACTCAGCTAGGAAAACCGTAAAAAATTGCGTCGACGCTCTGAGTGAGATAGTGGAAATGGTTTCTGTTGAAGATGTTCAGATGGTATTCGACACCCTCACTGACCTATATCCAGAAGAACGCAACTGGTTTACCGCTAGCAAATTCTACTGTCTGGCTATGCTCGAATTCGAGAACAATAACGATGATTACTATATGGTGGTGAAGTACCATGAAAAAGCGATCGAAATTTGGCAATCGCATTGCCCTAACGATGGCTACTATAATATCGCTGAAAGTTATTTTGCTCTGGGAGAATTATTTTGGCACAGCGTAGAGAATCAGAAGGCTTTATCGGTTGATTACTGGAAACAGGCATTGCATTTCTACGAACTGGCCTTACCCAAATGTAGTACGGTGCCCATAGATTATGCAAGAGTGAACATTTTGATTCAATTAGTTCAGGTGTGTAAGAGTTTATCAAGAAATGCAGATCTGATAAGATATGGTTCGAAGGCAATCACATATCAAAAAGAGTGGATGGAACTGCAGCTACTATTGAACCCTGCTCAGTCGACGTCGTTGGACATTGCCCTTGAGTTCGAGCGCTTAGCAGATATGTACGCAGCCATTTATCAGTATGATGATGCATTGAGCAACTACGAGAAAGCAGTGAATCTTTACTTGTTGAACGAGAACAATAAAATGGGACAGCGTGCTAGGTCTCACAATTGGGTCAATCTGGCCAAGAAAATGGTGACAATCTGTACCGAGCATATACAAGATGCCACTTTAACCCTCAAATATCACTTATTGCAGCGCCAGTGCGAGCTGAAAGAAGCGGCGAATGATGTGAGTGGTGTTTGTTCGTGGGGCAAAAAAAACAGATCTTTAACGGAAAGTCACTTCTCCGTGACTCACTGTTCTATTGACATACAGCAATATGTTGGAGCCTACGAACATTTGACTGAGGGATTGAAACACGCTCAACTGAGCAAGGAGCTGCTCTTGCAACACGGACTACCCAAGACGAGAAGCACTGGGAAAAAACGCAGAATAACGCGTTAAAATTTTAACGAAAACTAAATCATAAAAACGTGTATATTTTAACGCGTTAAATTATTTGAAGAGTTACTATGTCGTGCAAAAATCAAACGCACTTTGAACGCGTAAAAATGTACGCTTTATACGATTTTATTTTCGAACATAGTTTTAACGCATTTTTATGCGTTCAACTTTTCAATCATTTTTAGGGTGTAGGTGTGAGTGTGAGCCTGGGTGATCGGTGTGGGTGTGAGTGTGAGTGTCAGTCTGGCTAATGGGTGAGTGTCCGGATGATAGGCGTGGATCTTGAGGATGTGTGTGTGTCTAAGTCTGGATCAGGGTGATGAGTGCGGGTATAGGTCTGGATCTGGGTGATGGATGTGAGTGTCAGTCTGGATAATAGGTGATGGGCGTGGATGATGTAGTTCTGGATGGGTGTGTCGCTGTGGGTAAGAATGAGTTAAATTGGAAACGTCCACACCCACACTCACCCTCACAGATCCTGAGTCTAACTCTATACACATTCTCTTAAATATCTATGAATGCTGTGCACATGAAATTTTGCTATAATTATGATTTATTCAGATACTTGCTAGTAGAGTGTGGGTATGAATGTGGATCATGATTAAGTGAATACCCACACCCAAGCCCACACCCTCAATAAAAAACAAATAAATTTTCTACTTTATTATTACAAAGCCATTTTGTTACTGAATTGATCAAATGAGAAGAACAATATTTTCCTTATCTACGAAGTAATTTTATTTTGAAAAAAACTAGCTATTCATACCCATTCTATCTTAGGTACACATAGAAGTGAGAGATAGATGAACAAAACAAAGAAGATGATGTAATACATCTTCTTTTTAACTGTGTAAGAAGTAAATAGAAATATAGAATAAAATAAGAAAAAGAAAGATGTGGATGAACAATATGATGGATATGTGGGAAATAGAAGAGAGAAAAAAAACAGTACGAATGTTGTTAGAATGTTGTCTAACATTTGTACATTAGATATTGAATGAGTTCATAGAAAAACATCAAAAATGTTAATTTAACAACAGCAAACCTTGGCACATGATCTTTTGACGGTGACAGTTTTCTTTCTGATGACTTTGCAACATGGTTTGCAGCAGCATACAGTTTTACGTACACAACAGCATGGACCACAACAACATAAACCACAGCAGCAATCGCAGCATGGATCACAACAACAATCACAGCAAGGATCACAGCAAGAGCAACAACAAGGATCACAGCATGAGCTACAACATGATTTACAGCACGAACCACAACCGCAGCCGCAACCACATCCACATCCACAACCGCAACCGCATCCACAACCACATCCACAGCCTGGCATATTAATAGTAATAATGTAGTATAAAATAAAATTAGAGTACGATGAGAACTGGTTTATGAAACTATGAGAAAAGGTGTATCTATATATACAGAGGTAGAGTAACGAACAATATTGTTTTCAGTCAACAAAACAATTCACTACTGTTCTCACATGACAATAACTTAGATACACATGTGATAGAAAAATATATAAGGAAACATAAGTAACAATTTGTTACTATTCATGCAATACAACAAAAATATGAAATTCACACTTATTACCA